TGTCCTAAATCTTGTTATAGTTTAAGGAACATTGTGGTCCATTGTTAAATGTTACCTCCATCTTCCCACAACAAAATAACTGAGTTGGTTTTTCTGATTACTGAAGTGGTTTTTGGAACTCTAATGGGCTATAGCCAAGCCCAGATCTGTTTTATTTAACAAACACAGTATTAATATTTTTTCTAAAACTAATAGAAATTCTGAAAGTAAAGAATTTTACTTTCATTAGCAAAATAAATCTCAAATAACAAAGGAAATTTTTAAGAACATTATTAAATGATTAGAAAAACATGTTGCAGTTCACCCAGGTCTGAACAGTTTATTCTCCCAATTAACGATTGGCCTTTAAATGCTTCTTGATGGGAATCAGAAATTCTCTGAACTTGGAAAAATAATTATGGTAGGTAAGATTTTATCTGTGATGTGCTTAGATGTGTAGAAATTAACCTGCATATATTATTTTTTTCTATGTAAAGCCCTAAATACTCTGAGATTTGGGATCTAGAAATTTTGTATCTGAGTCCAGTAATATTTTCATTAATACCTTGAAGCCCATTGTCTCTTCCTGTCAATTGTTAGGTACATTCCACAGGAATCTCTGAGGATTTTTCAATGTCTACAGATGAATGAGATATGGAAATTGGCACACTTATCTTCCTCTGTGATCAGCCAGTGGGCAGCAGAACATACAAAAAGAAAAGAGGTTGGAAGATTCGTGTAACCATTCCTGATGAATGGCTGAGCAATTGCCTGGTTATAGCTCTAATATCAAGCTAACAGGTGTACAAAAGGAATTTTCTTTATACCAGTTCCAAAGTAGTACAAAATCTCCTTCATTAACAGTTTCTCTCAAGGTTGTTCTGGTAGCATATTTCTAGATCTTTTTTAAGTATTCATATTTCTAGATCTTTTTTAAGTATTCAAGAATGGCTTCAAGGAGTCAGCAATAACACTCTAAGGTTTGAATTTATCAAAATGCTTTTCTAATTAATCCAGGAAGGAAGGAGGGAAGGAAGGGAGGGAGGGAGGGAGGAAGGAAGGAGGGAAGGAAGGAAGGAAGGAAGGAAGGAAGGAAGGAAGGAAGGAAGGAAGGAAGGAAGGAAGGAAGGAAGGAAGGAAGGAAGGAAGGTTGGTTGGTTGGTTTATGATGCTCTCTGCCAGGCTGGGGAAGCCAGCAGAAAGTTGGTTATTTAGTGACACACTTCTTAGCTATTAAGTGAATTACATCAATAACCAGCTGAGAAGGAGAACATAAGAAAACCCATATTGGAGCAGATCAAAACTTACCTAGTGCAACATTCTGTTCTCACAATGTAACACCAAATATTAAATGGAAACCTATAACAAATAGCCACTGATAGCCTCCATAGTTTCAATTCCTCTGAAAATGTCCATCTTGGTGAAGTCTTATAATTGTGAATGTCATAGGATTTTGCAATCTTTTGGACCTTGTCTGTCAGATGTAACTGCAAGAGTAGGGGTGGTATATAAAAAAGTGAGGATGACAGGTATGACTGTGCAATCAAAGACTTGGCCATTTAAAAATATGTTTGATGCATGTTAAAAAAAGAGTAGGGTTTTTGTGCACCTTATCTTGAGGTGTTTTTTTTTTTAAATTTCCCTGGTTGCCATGGTATAGTAATCCAGTACATAGTGAGATGGGAGGCCATATAAATTTGTTTAATAAATAAACAAATAAAACAAATCCAGGTGTTTCCCTGCAATTTGCCAAGATCCCATGTTAGTTTAGTAAACTGTTATTAGTGTCTATGGTATGAATTGATAGAAATCATCCCTAAAGGCTTATTTGTTTGCTTGCTATTTGAAGTCCTAGATACTTAGCAAATCTAATGTCTGTTGGATTTTCATTTGTACAGCAGAAGAAGGAGCCATGTATATGAAAGAGATCCAAGACCAGGAAGAATTCCTGAACTGGAGGCTCAGGACTTATCATTAGCAGTTTTATTATTGTTACATGCATTTATATCAGGAAGAAAATCTCTTTGCATTTTATAAAAAGAAATTCTAAGAAAAGATGCTGAAGATTAGTCTCCTAAAGAGATTGTGGCAGAATTGAAATTATTTGTACCCAGATAGTAAGAAAAATCCTCAGACCCTATGTATATTTATGCATTATTACCACTTCCATTTATGTATATTTATTGTTATTTTATGGACATTTTATACTAATGAACCATTACTTTCGTTTCTGCCCTTAATAATCATACAATTGTGTATCCTGCAAACATTTGTAATAATATTCCTGACTATAAATTTGATACACTGCCTCTCTCTCCCTCTGTCTTTAAATTCTTTAGTAATTCAGTTTTAATGAAAATTTTCAATATGCAAAAGGAACACAGAGTTTAGGTGTGAAATAGATAAAGAAACCAACAAGAATATTCCTGTATATAATCTGAATAAGTAACCACCTCTTTGATTGGATTGATTATATGCTGCAAAGGAATTTAACAGAACATATGGTCCTGGGAATATAGAAAAATACAAAACTATAAAAGTTTTGGCAAAATGAAGAAATTTGCAAGAATTTCTGGTATAACTGCAACATAAATTCACATATTTGACAAAAAGAAACAGTTGTCATTTCATAAGGTTATTGTTTGTACATAATAAGTATCTCGCTTTTGTTCAGTATATGGAAGTCAGGACACTGCAGCAGACTTAAATGCTTTTTAATAAAGTGTATGACTAGAAATATTTTCCACAGATTAGATTTCAGATATTGCCTCGAGAGTGCAAACTGGAATTCTAGCTTTTTTCAGTTTTACTTAAAACTCATAAGCTCTCACTAAAATATAATTTCAAAACATGTAGGCTAATAAAATGATCTCTTAGTGTTGATCATTAGAAATACAGTATTAGCAATTTCAAAAGAATGTCCTAGGAAGGAATAATTAACAGCTAGCCTTAACAAAAAACAGTTCAAGCCAGTTTGTTAACATATCTGCAAACACTGCTGTTTCTTCCATTAGAATTCAGCAGTACAACATTATTTTCTGTAATACATTTTTTATATATTTCAATTCATAACCATTTACATTAGTCCAAAAAGCTTGTGCATGTAGTATTCTATGACAACATAACTCATTCTTTTTTTTTTAAGTCAAGTATATTTTAAGTCAAGTTTAGTAAGAATATGAGCAATGATGTGATCAAGATGACCTCCAAGGTCCCTTCCAACATCATCATCATCATCATCATCATCATTATTATTATTATGTGGGTTTTTTAGAACATAAGTTAAATGTCTATTTTCAAAAGTTTCACAATAAATTTTTATCATTAATTGATAAATAACTTTGAATACTTAATAATTTTTGACATAAATTTTGACTTATTTGCCTTTTTTCAATCCTTTATGACATTTTGCATTGGACTCCCAATTTTTTTATACATAATTTCAGCAAATGTCTATGGAGATTCTCAGTCATCCAGGTCATAGTTGTCCCAAGGATGTTTTTTCATGAGGCAACTGGACTCCCTTGTTTTTCTTTGAAGAGGTTTCGCTTCTCATCCAAGAAGCTCTTGACTGGATGGTGGGGAATGGAAGAATTTATACTCCTTTTCTCATTTTATTTGTACATTACCCAGAGTCACTCTGTGAGGGACATGGGAAATTTCTAATTTTAATAAATAAAAAAATAAACATCAAACATTCCATTATTTGTTTATATATGAACCAAACCAAATCTGCTCATTAATTTTTCAGACATAGTTTCACTGAAATTACTTTTATATTACAGTGATTATTTTCATGTACATGCATTTCCAGATAGTTAATTATTTGTGATTATTTCTTATTAAACAATTTCAACTTCTTGACTTAATAACTAAAGATGGAGATTAGTAATTTCTCAACCACAACTCTAGAAAATTTAATCAGATATGCTTTTTGAATTTACTGTTCTTCATATAATAACTTAGAAGAGGGAGATAAATCATTACTTCTTCTCTTTTTCTCATGTATATAGGTAGTGATTTGAAAAAAAAAGACATTGAACACTTAAGAAAGTTATTTCAATACCTCTGGCTTTGTTCCTTATCTTATTTACAAATTTAATAATACTGAGGAAAATGTCAAAGGGGATGTTAACGTAGTTCTTTTTAAAAATGAGATAATTCCAGGGAAATTAATCATTTAATTATTTATGTCATTCTTGTGAATCATGTCTACAACTTTATGAAGATCCCAGCAAAACACTCATTTAAAATGCATCAGTAAAGTATCACACACCCCTGTTTTGGGCCAATTAAGTGGCCATTATGCTTCACTTCTTCTGACATGCAACTAAAGTTAAGCAAATTCTCTTATATTACATTATTAACGGCAAAAAGGAAATGTGAGTCATCAAATGATTGACATTTAACAAATATGAAGTGTTTTTTTTACTAGAATTCTCAAAAAATATTCTTGAGCTTTATTTTAGTGGTAATCATATGTCAGTTAAATGACAGAAGAAACAATCAATTAATTTGATAATTTGATATATCAGCCGACTCAAACCTAGTTACAGAAAGGAAATAGAATATAGTATTATAAAATATAGCTTTATTAGTTTCAGAACACTTTGTTACTTGCTGGACTAACAAAAAAGATATAAATTGGATTAAATTGTATCTCATCTATAAATCTTTTAGATTACGGTTTCTAGGGAATGCAAATGCACTTCTACCTAAAATCTTGGATCCCAAGTTGCTCATCATGTTCAAAATGACAGATTTTAGACACTAGGATAGAAGGAGAAAAAAAGCTATGACAGGAATGGGAATCTACAAAATTATTAAATTGAAATTGATCTAGAAATCAGCTTCAGCTGATCTTAATTTGATGTTCATTACTTCCATTGATATGACATGTAATTTTTCTTTGAATTTGGATTGGTTTCGGACCAGTGAAAATTCTAAAAGGAGTGAAGATATGAGTAACTTTATATCAGCCTTTCCGTTTGCTATCATGAAATTCCTCTAGATTATCTGAGAATAGTAATTTTGACAGTTGCAGTTTCAACACATCTGAAAGGCAACAAGGCAAGTTCATCTGGATTTTGCTGTCTAAAAGTATTATTGTATGGCTTGTACCACATATTACTCAGACAGGTTTGCTAGAGTTTATGAGCTGGTGTTTTGGAGTCAGCTGAGCCTTAGCTGACCAATGACAATTTGTGAATGGTACCCTTTGATTTTTTTTTCCAAATGCATGATATTTGGCTTCTGAAAAAATGCATTTTCCCTCAGCTCTTATTTAATGCATTTAGCAAAGTTTTTTTTTAAAAAAACTGTTAAGCTTTTTGCTCTACTTACAACTTGTTCCTTAATTTCTTTTATTCCGTATGTACAATATTATATGTCTTTTTACTCCTAAAACATAGATATACCATATGCTTTCCTTCCTTGCAGTGCACATAGAACCTGGTACATGTGAAGTCATTGCTGCCCACAGGTGCTGCAATAAGAATAAGATTGAAGAGCGCTCCCAAACAGTGAAATGTTCCTGCTTTCCAGGTCAGGTGGCTGGGACAACACATGCTGCTCCTTCATGTGTGGATGGTAAGTGTACAGGTATCTACAGTGTGAATGTATGGACATAGTTGTAGCTAGGTCAAAAGATGGATTCATAGCTGTAAAGTCTGTGAGCCTGGATAGTAGTCCTTGCTGAAAAAATTGTATTAAATACAACCCTATACTTTAAAAATGTCAACCAAACTCTGTTATTCTGGATTCTGTGTTCTGTTAAGTAACACAGCCTGAATGTATTTTTGATTTGAAAGCAGAAGTATGCTTTAGAGCAGGGGTGTCAAACTGGTGGCCTGCAGGCCAGATGTGTCAAGTGCAGGCCACGCCTTCCCTGGCCACACAAAGGCAAAAACCATCGTGATACATCACATGACGCAATTGAATTTGACACCCGTGCTTTAGAGCTTATGGGAGCTGACTAAAGTTCCTGTCTAGCATGTTATAGACCAAATGCAACCACACAATACCAAGAAATGACTTAGTTTCTTTAAAGAATTATAGGCAGCTTGCTACACGAGTGCCTCTGCATGATCAGAGCATTTACCTTGCTTTAAGATTTAAAGCATTTCATAGCCTTCAACAGTTAGTTCTTATTAGGAAATGCCCAGAAGTACAAATTTTTATTAGCAGCTAATAAAATTATGTTGAAAGACTAACTTAATGGTGTACTTAACTTTGAATACAAGTATATATTTAGTTGTTCTCAAAGTGTCAATGAGTCTCTGATAGTCATTAAAAGCAATTAATAGCAACCATGATTAGCCAATTTGAATAATTTTGTATGGCAAGGAAGGCTGATGTTTCTATATCCCAGTCCTGCTATTGAATTTGTACAACATCAGATTATCTGTCTGAGTAAACCAAGATTTGGAAAGCACTATAGTTTAGTGGTAAGACAAATTATTATTCATTGTCATTGGTTCAGTGAAATCTCCAGGTAGTATTAAGAAAGCCTTGCAAGCATTTCTTCAGTATGGATCAGTCTTGCAGCTAGTAAGGTGGACTGTTACTTTTGTATCATAAACCAGGTTAACACAGATTATGGGAGTGATTGACCAAAAATACCTGAAGAACAGCAGATTGGAGAAGCAACACTAAACTAGATGGGGTAATAATCTGACTCTTCTTCAAATAGGGTAACTTAGTTAAGACTCTGGGCATAACTGAATATTGTTCAATTACTATTTTTGGAACAGAAAAAGTGGGTTGTCAAGTACTCCAAAATCTGCTGCTTTTTACTGCACAGTTTGATTCATTGCTTTAAACATTTCTGTTTTCTAGGCTTTTTTTTTGAGTTTATAATGAAAATGATACTATTGTACATTCAGTCAGAAACATAATTTGAAGATAGATTAGTAGAACTTGAGACAATAGGCATGTTGTCCCCATAAAATAGACATCCAGTATTATGTTTTGTTACAGTTCTGTACTCATTCATTCTCAACAGTTTTGTAATAGGAACAGAGTCTGGCAGAATATGACTGGCCCTGTGACTTCAAGTCTCAGTTGAGATGTGACCTAAGATTTTATGCACTATCCACACATGGGAAAGTTCCTGAAATTTCTCAACAAGTTCCATCTGTTTTCTTTCTTTTGCAAAAGCAAACAACATCATTCAACCACATATGTTCAGTCTTTTTAGAGAAACTTCATAGATTAATGCTGTTATAACCAATAAACTGGTTATAATCTGCAATCTTTCAGGCTGATTGTAGAGCCCTTATATGGTAATTTGAAATATTTATTACTTAGATATCCAAAACATGAAATAATTTAATCTTGACAAAATAAATATCGTAGCTCACAACTAATAAAGTTTTGTATTGAAGAGATATACTCTTATTAGTTTCCTATTCTTCCTAGAAATTTGTGGCCACCAACACCTTGCCACTACTGGACATGAAATCTGATGTGGGATAAAAATATACAAAACAGGCCAGGAAGCCTAGGCCAGTCACATCGCCTTCCTCAGTAGTATAGATAAAATGGTATGTTATCAACTGCTAGTATTTTTTTTAAAGGAAATTGGTGCAGTAAATACTGTAGTCAATTTGCTATTTTAAGTGATGTTCTTCCTCTCTCCTGAGAAAAGAACGATGTGCTTTGCTAAGAAATTTAGGAATAGGATAGCAAGATATATTTTATGGAAGGGATGAACTACAGAAAAAAATTGGTAGCTTTTTGTATATGTATGTGCTATTTCATAATTGTATAGTATTGTGGATATTAAGTTGTGCATTAATTTTTTAGCTGGTTTTAGCAAATCAGTGACTCTCTCACTTATTCTGAAAATTGACTATAGATTTTTCTTTCTATAAAGAGCTTTTCAATTGAAATTGTAATTATTGCCCAGTTTTGACTTCCGAAGTCAATATTTTATGTGCAATTGTGTCTTATTTTTACTCAGAAAGGAATTTGTTTAAATATCAACATTTCCTTTCTCTTGTGGGAAGGTCAATTTAGCTATAATATCTAAGATTCCCTCTCTCTGAAATCTACTTAAAAAAAGTAGGAAAACTTGTTACTATAAAGTAGGTGTAACACATAGGAATGAAAGCATGCAATCTAATCACCTGTGCAAACTGCTAAAAACAACCTCAGCCCATCTATATTTTATTGAATAGTGTCACTTGGGATCTATTTGAAATGGCTCAAAGCCTCTGCTGGTACATTATTGATTGTCTTGGCAGCTTGGTTGGTACAAATGGATTTATATGTGATGCCAAGAAACTACTTAAAAAACATAGGATACTATTCCCCTGAAAGACTAGCATCTCTTAGCAGCTTTGGAAAAGTACTTCAATTTATCTGAACAAAGCATTTCCCTAAAATTACCTATTGAGATTTCATTGAAATCATCATGATATCTTCTCTTTAATTCTTGTGTCACGTAGTGGTGCAGCACTATCTTGCATTCATTGGAAATTTTGATTTTTAGGCTCACGCACTTCTCTCTCCTGAACACTGCAACAAGGAAGAGTGATATTTAAACTTATCCAAACAGCGAACACTGGTTAACTTAAACTATGTTGGATAAAACAAATTATGCTTTATGAATCAGACTTGTTAACAAACCATGGAATAAGTTAACAAAACTTCCTCCACTTCAGACCGAATAACAGATTCTGCTTCGTTTGAATGAACTGGTGGAACTGACTGCAATGGCAGAGAAGGGGATAGAGGCAGCCTGAGGCTCAGAAGGGCAACATACCATGCAACATTGCTTGCTTATTAGTCACTTTTCTGTATCCTCATCTTTTGCACTGCAGCTGCATTACCATGATATAGGAGGGAGCTGACAGGCAAAGTAAAATCAATGTGTTGCTGGCGTATCAACAAAGGCAGATTAAGATCCTTTTGCCTGCAACTAGTTTACCAGGCCTAAAAGCTCATGGAAGCAAAAGCACTGAGAAAAACATAGAACACCAAGGTCTCAAATTCCATCTGTAGTTAACCTTTCATGACAGTTTATTCTTGATTAGTTGTCATTAACATGTCTTGGACCGTTGAAACTGTCCCAAGGCAGCAAAGTACTATTGGAAGAATACATATTTTCCAACCAATGTTGTTGTGCTGTGTGTGCTTCCAGTCAGTGTCTATAAATCCTTATTTTTCCTTTAAGAATGAAACATTGGCCCTGGCTTTGCACAATATGACTGATAACTCTTCCAGTTTTGATCATTTCCCCCTCCCAAACTCTGGGTTAACTGTAGGCTTGGTTGTGGGTCTTGCATTCATATTCCAGTATCGGCAACCCAACATAGTGTCACAACAGTGTGTATGAACAGTGTTTATGAACAATGTATTCATGAAACAATTCCAGGAAATGAAAAATAAAAATTAAAGAACTTAATTTTTGAGTGATGGACATGTGTGGGTGTCGCTGTCTGGGGAGGGGAATGGGGGTGGCTTTACACCTGAGCTATCTTAGTCTGAACTGAACTGAAAATAGCAAAAGAAGAAAGCAAGAAAATAAACTAGGATTTGTGGATGGCAGTACTTATCGCAAAGATGATGGCAAGGGAAGATTAGTGAGAAGAAACACTGGATTTTCTAGAGCAGGCATGTCAAACTTGCGACCTCACATGACGTCACGCAACGTATCAGGCCAGTTTTGCCATTGCCGGCAATGGGGTGGGCGCGGCTTCCAGGTGACACGTCCAGCCCACGGGCTGGCAGTTTGATACCCCTGTTCTAGAGAAACCAGTTAATTTCCTTTTTAAAATGATATAGAACTAAAAATGAAAAGAAATTACTGTATAAGAGACTAGGAGTTTGAGTATGTGAATAGGAGGCTTTGCTTTGCTGTTTCAACTCTTCCTGGATAAAAATATCTCTTTTTCTACCTATGAATTTTAAAAATTGCATGCAAAATGCCTTGGGCTTTTAATCTTTAAAAAGATTTTCCCCTGTGGTGGAAACGCCGGTTGATAAGGCGGATAGATTTGACTGAGAAAAGTTTTAAGTTTCATACTGTTTTTTTGGCTTCTCAACTTCTTAGCCTCCCAGAGTTGCTGTTGTTTTAATTAAAATTGCCAAGATACTATTCTATTTTTTTGCAGTGTATTTTTTTAATTTAATGCTTATACATCAAATAAAACTTTCTTTTTTTCCTAGTATGTATTATATAGGAGACTATTTTCATTATTTGCTTGTAATAGGAAGTTATCATTAGTTTCACTGATGATTTTTTTAAAATGCATTCTTGTTTTTCTATAAAACTTCTTTGTTTCATTGCTTGTCCTTTTTTATCTGTTTATAAAAAATATAAACAGCTTTTAGCTGTTTAAAAGCTGTTTATACTTTTAAGCATATAGCTTTTTAATTTAAAAGAAAGGTGAATAGGTTATTATACAGTGATAAGAATGCAGACTCCGATTGTAGGAAACTTAGGTTGATCTCCACCATCTTCACAGAATTGGAGTGTCGGACCATTTTGGCTATCAAATCTATCCTCAATTCTGTGCAAAATGGCAGCTGGAAATATCCTTGAAAAATGGCTGTCTTGCCTTTGCTTGCTGAATAATTGGTGCAACCACAGGAAATAATCTTGGATTTGTTTCATCAGTGGCTGAACTTTGCATAGGACAGTTTGTTCAAGTTTGTGTGTATTCATGTAAGTGTGAAAATATCTCAAAAATTAGAATGGCTTTCCTTGTAACTGTATTATTTTATTATTTTTAACACAATTTCTTCCTTTCATAGTTCTGTTTCATGGTAGACTTTGGATGGTATCAATTTTTCTCTCAGTTCCTATTTCAAAAATAATAAATAAATAAATCTGGATGTATAAATGCAATACTTCTGATTTTCACATACCATACAGTATTCACTTGCATTTAATAGGACATTTATTTGAATGTCTGTCTATAGAAGTGGTTCTCAACCTTTTTATACGGCAACCCCTGTCATAAGGACACGCCGCGCATGCGTGCCGCCCCCCATGCGCGGTGTGCATGCGCGGCGGCGCCCCATGCGTGGCGGCGCCCCCATGCGCGGCGTGCATGCACGGCGTCACCCCCTGAGGGAAAAAAATGATGGATCGCATTGTTTGGTGACCCCCGTAAAATGGTTGTTCGACCCCAAATGGGGTCGCGACCCAAAGGTTGAGAACCGCTGGTCTATAGCCAGTCTGGAGCTGAAATGATAATATCTGAGAATGTGTTGAGTTCTTCTTTTTTTTTTTTTTTTTTTTTTTATTGAAAATTTTTACATTTTACAAAAACAAATCCCCTTCCCATACCCCCCCCTACCTCACCCCCCCCCCTTCCCAAGCTCCCAAACCCTCCCCTGGACTTCCCAGAGCTGAGTACAGGCTTAATTAAAAAAAAAAAAAAAACTTAAAACACTTTTAAAACCTAAACAAATTTAAATACAATCATCATTCTATATAAGCTCCCTCCAAAAACACAAATTTAAACATTACTTTCTTTGAATATCTATATCTATAATATAAAATCTAATTTCTCCCTCTTTCTTTATCCTAAAACGAAAAAATAAACATACAAATCTGTGTTATACCATTAAAGCTAAATACTCTTAAAGAACTTAAAGTAAGTACATATTTCCTTCAATCTTCATAATCTTCTCTCCTATCCAAAAAGAAAAAAAAAAAACAAAAAACAAAAACTTAAAAAACCTATAAGTCCTAAACAAATCTAAGCACATTTAATTAAACAAATTATTTTGTCTTAAAAATATTAATAATAATATTTAAAAACTAAAAACACTTTTAAATCCTAAACAAATCTAAATACAATCATCACTCTATATAAACTCCCTCCAAAACCACAAAATTTTTAAAATTTAAAATATTAGAATCCACTCACTAAAATAAGCAAATTATAATCCCTTCAAAACACAAATTTAAACAATATTATCATTAAATGTTCAAAACTTAAAACAACAAAGTTAATAAACACATTAAACATTTCAATCTTCACCAATAACTAATTCCATCCATAAAAAACTACATCCTTATCAATCTCCATTATATTAGTATTATTAATTATTCACATTCCAGTTTTTTCCATTCTCCCTTCTTCCATTCTTCCATTTCCCTTCTCCATTCTTGTATCAAACTCGTAAGAAATGCTGCAAGTTCTGCCTTAGGAGACTGCTCCAAAATTCCTGAATCTCCCATCGACTCCGAAGCCAATAAGGGTTCCTTAAATTCCTCCTTGTATTGATCTTTACAATTGTAAGTTGTACAAGTTATCCTCTGCCCATTCCTCTCTTGTTGATGCCCCTCAGACTGAGATTTCCCAGTTTCCATTTCAGGCAACAATTCCACCCTTAAAGATTGCTCCAAAGACTTTGTAGGTCTAACATCTCCCAGAGATTCAGAAACCACTAAATATGAAACTTCCTTAACCTTCTTCTGTTGCTGCTTTTCTTTGGGATTATATACTGCACAAGTTGTCTTCTGCTCCTCACCCTGGACTTGTTGAGGCCTCTCACACAAAGATTCTCCAGTTTTCATAAATATAGGCTCTTCAAACTGTGATTCTACATTCTTTTCTTCCAAAGCTTTAAACTTAATTGATGGCGATGCACATACCCCCAGGACCGAAGTATAAAAATCTTTTGCTTGAGAAACAGTATTAAGTCTATAACATGTCCCCAGGTAATTCACCACCATTCCAATCGGAACATCCCATCTGAATGAAATTTTTCTCTTTTTAAGTTCATTTGCTAAAAAAGCAAACTCCTTTCTTCTTCTTAAATTTTTAGATGGGATCTCTTTAAAAATTATAACATCTTGTGAAGCAATTTGAAATCTCTTCTTATAATAGGCTTGCACAATTTCATTGCGTAAAGATCTTTTAACAAAGTAAATTACCACATCTCTTGGCAGATTCTTCTGTGCTGCCACCACAGAGTTAACCCTAAATAATTTTTCAATTTCATTAAGTATTCCCTCTTTTTCTTTATTCAAAATCAATGCAAAGTCCTTTGCAACCATCTCCTTCAGATCTCCTTGCAAAGACTCTCCCAGGCCTCTATTTCTTAAGGCATATTCCATTTGTCCATATTGAAGCATAAGAATCTCATTTTCCATTTCTTTTTCCATACTTTCAATTTTCCCCTCCATTATGTCCACTTTTTCAGCTACCTCTTCCACATGGGAGTTCACCTTTTCAAGAACAGAAGCAACACCTTCTAAAGCCAAAACAAAATCTTGTCTCAAGATCTTATTGTTTTCCTCTAAAATCTTTTTCATTTCTGCCCTAATTTGAATTATAACATCTCCCATCATGTCTTGCAAATCCTTCATAGTTATTAGCTGACCCCCAGAAGAGGGTGAAACTGTTGATTTAGAAGCTGTAGAAATCCCTGGACGCTTTGGAGCCATCTTAAAGAAAAACCTTTAGTCCTTCTTAAGAAATTATAAAAATTCCTTCAAAAATCATAACTCCCTCCAAAGAAGGTCATTATAATAAAAAGAAAAAAGGGAAAAAAAGGAAGAGAAAAAGAATTAAAAAAAAGTTTTACTCCTTCTTAAAAATTACAAAAAATTAAACAAAAAAAAAGTCCTTCAAAAAAGGGTCATTACAATAAAAAAAAAAGGGAGTTCAAAGGAAAAAAAAAGGGAGAAGGAAAAAAAAATAATTAAATAAAAAAAGTCCGTTCCAAAAAAAATACTTAGAGATACCAAAAACAACCATTCCAATCATAAGGAAATAAAAAGAGAAAGGGAAAGGAAAGAAAGAAAAACACCAAAAAGCCTGCCGGTCAGCATTCTAACTTCCAGAAAAAAAAAACACCGAGGAGTTTGCCGATCGCCATTTTACTTTCCCTTTCAACAAAGAAAAAAAATAAAAAGAGAGAATAAAAATAGAAACAAATCTTAAAACTTAAAATCCAAATAAGTCAAAGAAAGCAAAAACTAAATCCTCTACTCAGCTCTGTCCATTTAAAAAAAAAAAACTCACCAGTTCTCTTTAAGCACGGAGGTGTTTGCGGCGGCTCGTTTTGTCCCTGAGGACAAAAACAGCTGGGAAGCGGAGACAAGTCTGAACTCCGTGGGAGCACTCCTTTCACCCCCCCAAAAAAAAAACTTGGGGGGTGCGAAAGAGGCTCTACCACTATTCAGACACTCTCTACCCCCCCCCTTTGCCCGGGAGGGGGATTTTGAACCGCTGAACAGCTGGTGTCTGCTGTTCATAGCGGTTCTTACACTTACCCAGGAGGACGGCTACAAAGTAGCCGCCATCACGCACGCAAAATCCACCGGAAGTCCGTGTTGAGTTCTTCTTGAAGTGCATTGTGGAATGTATCCTTACTTTGGTATCTTTGGAGTTCACTGGAAGTGTACATTTGAGTTAAGAAAAAATACAGCACCAATTTGTTGCTAAGGTTTTTAACAACATCATTTGTTTTCTCATAGCATCAATAGTGCTTCAGAAGTGGTGGTGCCAAATGCAGCCATGTGTAGAAGGAGAGGAATGTAAAGTACTACCAGATTTGTCTGGATGGAGTTGCAGTACTGGAAACAAAGTAAAGACAACTAAGGTAGGTCTTAATTAAATAAATATAACTTCAGTGAAAGAGTGATCAGGCTCACATATTTTGGCCAAACTGTACACCATTTTTGTAATATAATGTTTAAAAATCTAATGACTAGATGGTCTGCTGAATGAGAATTGCAGGGATCACTTTATTGCTTAGTAAAGATGTGCTAAGAACACCAAACATTATCGCTGTGTAATGGCTCAGAGATGCCAACTTACCCTTCAGCCATTATCCAGGTCAACAATCCTATGGTTCTTAATTAAAAATAGTTTACAAAACCATGTTGAGGGAAAGAAAAGAAACACAGTGGTGAGGCAATATGGGCAAAAAATAAGGGTCTTTAATGGGTTGAATGTCCCATGGGCACTACCAAAATACCCTTGTTCTTGAGCTTAGTTTTTTATTGGTAAGTTGCTACTATTGGGCCTGGCTATAAAGGATTGCTTTGGTTGGTGTAGTGGCAGGAGATTAAAAACAGAAAATAATATAAGAAGCCACATGAAAGGCAAGCAATGAAACTCCACAGCTGATGGGATGATTATATGGAGAAAGGACATAATACACTAGTCACTTCCTATTTTCCAAACCACCAATCTTTCATACAAATGCTATCATTTTTGTAACTGTTTAGACATTCAACTATTTTATAAACAATTAAATCTTAAGTATGCCTTGAATATCTTGATGTAGTATGAATAGTGCATTTTATTTATTTATTTATTTATTTATGAGACTTATATACCGCTTTAAGTGCAAGCACTCTCTAAGCGGTGTACACCAGTAAGCAATGTATATATATATTTACATTGCCCCCAACAATCTGGGTCCTCATTTTACCTACCTCGGAAAGATGGAAGTCTGAGTCAACCTTGAGCCGGTGAGATTTGAACCACTGACCTGCTGAACACAGTCAGCTAAAGTGGCCTGCAGTACTGCACTCTAACTGCTGTACCACCTCGGCTCTTAGTACAATCTTGTGGATATTTGCACAGATTTAAAGTTTCTTCTTTCATCAAAAGCTGCGTAATAAGGGGAAAAAAACAAGAGTTCTTGGCAAAATTGAAAGAAAGGTTCAATAACAAATCTTACTAAACATTTCCCAAATTTGATCAGTTCAAGAAAGCAAATACATTTTCCTTAATAATGGAAAATATTTTTCTCTGTTGAAAATCACTTGGTTCAGGTATTTTTTTCCCCCATCTGTCCTCCTATTATTTCAGAGAAAAGTGAGAAAATCAGAAGTGACAAGTGTAGTGCTCATAATAAAATATCAGTTGTTTAGTTAAAAGAAGCATCATCCAGCTGATAGAAATTGATTTGCAGTTCTAATGGCTATTTAGGAGGAGAGTCTCTGACTAGAGGTTCACTCAGTATTCCAGTGAAGTTCCTAGATAGAGGCTGCATCTGTAAGATTTTTGCCCAGTAGCAGGTTTTCCATTCTTTTCCTCTCACTCTAGCCAAACACTTTCCATCCTGTCACAGCTCCTCCTGTTGGAGCAATCATCTGTGACAGAGAACTACATGATTATTATTTTCATGGCTTGCTGAATACTCTGAAGAACAAGGTATAATTAAAATTTTATCAAACTCATTAGTAATTACATGTATGTCATGGTTAATCAGTTGAATAATTTTGTAATCATTGTTCATACAGTGGAGTGTAATTATTCTTCAAGCTTTGCCTGCTTTGTGCTTCCATCTCCTTTACACACAAACATCCCCAAAGAATTGCTCTGTGAAATGGCAGTGTTTTCTTTCTTATCTTTTGCTCTGCCAATAACAGACACACGCTGAAATGCTTTCTAAACAGTGAGCATCAGAGTAGATCCCATTGACTCAGGTAATCCTGCTGACCAAATCTACTATCCTCCCTCCATCAACCTTGCTTTACCTGTTACCCATTTTTATATTTAATTTTACATTTTATTTAGTGTCAGCATTGTATGTGTCTTCTCTTTGGTTCTGAAGGTACTATTTGGAAAATAGAAATTTTATCGTATGGTCATCTTTGCCAAGCCTCTTCCGTATACAGAGAAGAATTTGCACTTCTTTGTGGCATTTTCCTGAAGTGTTTTGAATGAAACATTCTAATTTATTCCCAAACATTTTAACACTTTTTTAATGTTCTTATCCATTTCCAACTAGTTGGGGAGTTTTTATACTATTTTAATGGCCTTTGGAGCAATCTCTCAGCACAACTGCTGAAAACTGGTGGGCAGTTTCCTCAGTTGTGAAGTGGAAAACATACAAAACTGGGGTGTATTTCAAAATTCTCTCCAAAACCCCAAGAAAAAAAGGATTTTTTAAGCCTTACTTCTACCCACTTCACATTATCAACTTATTCAGCATGGCCACATCTTCTTTAAAAAAATTATAAATGTGAAATCTTATCTACCAAAAAATCCATTCTGCCTCTGGGTCACAGGATTAGTTACAACCACTGGAAACAACATACTGTAGCTGAGTCTTTATTAATTGGGGCATCCCATTCATAGCTAGAAGAGGTGATTGGGCTTTGGAGCATGTACTTTCAAAGAAATTGCTGAAGTGAAGGAACAATAGAGAACCCGATATACCCCTGGGGCAAGAAAGAAGTGCCAAGTAATGAGTAACCCGAGGAAGACAGATAAGAATTCACCTAGAATTGGATGCAAAACACAGCGGTCTCTCTGCTCATTTGGACTAATTGACACTGTGAGCATCCTCAATCGTTCACAGGAAATGTTTCCTATTTTCAAATCAACCACAGCGTCACTGCATTCACGGTTAGATGTATGAGCAGTAGGGAAATAATAATCCCCTTGTTTCCTGAACACAGGTGAATTCTCAGAATATTCAAGAGCACCACTTCCATCCAGAAAACAGATTCTCTGTTGCTCATATCACTAGTATGTGATTTTATAGCTTTCAGACAGCTATATTTATTTTCTAATTTGTCTTTCTCTGATCATTCAGTTTTTGCATTAAAGCAAATTGTCTTCTGTTTGTTCTGTCTTTGAAATACACTGTTACTGGCTGGACATTTAAATAATATGCATATGATCCCACATTAACTACTGTATGGTTCTCTGCTGTATACATATGGATGGAAGTTTTTTTTTCCCTCTGATGCTCTTAGTTTGCTATTTTGCAGTAGATTTTCTAAAGTGTTCCTGTGAATATCTCTCTTGTTTGGCATGCACATATGGCCAGGGAGAGAGTAAATAAGAATATTTAAATGTATCCACAATTCTCGTGGCTGTCTCCAGACCTCCAGTGAAATAAATGAGAAAGGACTTTGTAATGAGTAAACAAGGTATGGAATATCTGAAGTCTCTACAGTCATCCACAGATATTATATAACCTGACATTTTTCTCAGGCTTCATGGAGGTAGATTTGTCAATTTGTTACAAAGGAAATAAGACTGGAGTTAAGTAATAACTATCCAAAATGTTTTATATAGCAGGTTAAAATTTGAAACAACCGAACTTTACAGGTGGCTCTCATTTAGCAACCAATAATTCAGCAGCTGTTCAGACTTGCAACACTCTGAACAAGTGGTAGTTTCAGTCAGTCCTCGAAGCTCCAGCCATTGCAGTAATAGCATGGTCACGTGACAGTGATCTGCAGCATTCCCTATCACTTTCCCACAAGCAAAGTCAAGCTGATCATGTGAGCTCCTTGCTTAATGATGGTAACTGGAGACTGCTAGAACTGCCGTTGCTAAATGACACATTTCCCAAAATTGGGAAATTTTGGTCTCAATAACTGTTGTTAAGTGAGGACTATCTGTAGTCATTTTTAGTGCCAAATGGAAAGATTTGGGGCATAGCAATTAAAAGAAACTTAGGATGGCTTAGTTGTGTAGGTGACTTCTAGTAAATGGCATTACTTTAGATTCCCATGACAGAATAGCAGTTTTGACTACAGTTTCTTTGCATTGGGAGATGGGAAGAAGCAAGAGTTTCTGGAATTCAAGAGTCTTAAGTTTTAGGAGTTTTGTTTTCCTTGGAGTCAGTGCTTCTTTAATTGCAGAAGTCTGATTATAAGAACTAGCTTGAATAAGGGGAGCTTGTCCTAGGGAGGGCATATGCCTTATACTTCTCTGAAGCTTCCACCCATGTCAGATTTAACATTAAGGTACATTGATATGGACTAATTGTAATAATTGGACATGAGGAATCACAGAGTGGAAACAATGGATTTCACCTAATTCATTAGGATCATACCAAACAGACTTTCTATTTCTGGGACTTTAATCACCCTTGTTAAATGCATATGCATTTCTATTAAAATATTTTGAGAGCCTTGCATGTCCCTGGTTTTCTTTTTCAGAATGTTAATGTACTATGCAAGGGGAATTTTAATTTTTTTTAAAAATGCCTTCCAGTTTAACAGCTAAAAAGGTCACTTAACATAATCTTAAAATTGGAAGCCTGGAAGTGCTTCAGGGCATTAAATTATAAGAAATGTTAATATTTAAGCATTTTGGAATAAAATTCTGCTGCCCCCATATAAATCTCATACATGTTCTGTTGAAATATATCTTTCCTTTCCTTTCCTTTTTTTTTTTTTTGGTTGTGACTCTTGATTCATGGGATTCTGACAGACACTTTTAAAGCTGATTGAATTGTTTTTCATTGCTTCTGTTTGTGACTGTGCATGTAATTAAAGATATTCCTTGTGTGCATAAGACAGCAGCCACCACTGAACTAGGATGTTTGTGCAAACTGCAGTGTTTGTCTACATTTGGAAGATGATAGAGATGGGTTCACACAACATGCCAACCCAGAATTTGCCTAACAATCACATAGAAATATATATACATCTCACTAATCACATAGTAAATGGACTGGTGTTAAAATACTTTAAATCAGAAACAAGTCACATCATCACTTGTATATTATGTGAAAACAATCTATCTAAAGGAACAAATTAATGTGGCAACTCATCTGAGTCACATCAACCTTTAGTTTTAGTCCAGTAACAGTTGTTGACTTAAAACCATTTTTTCATCTTAACATTGGCCTGGAACAATGTGTTATTTTTTTTTTTAGTTTTGCTTCCAGAGCACTGATTCATAATAGAGCTATATTCAGATATGATAGAATGTGCTTCTGACTTCTCAGGGGCACTCATGTGAAAAGTAGCTCTTCCCCCAGGAAGCTGTATCTGCACTTGGTAGCTATTGTCCAATCTTAAGCAAAGGTACATTTGGTTTAAGAAAGTGCTGACAGATATTCCACATGTGCCCATGTTATGTTTCAAAGGACCTTTTCTTCTTTGATTCTAAAGCGCTGCATAGCCTTAATTCGTTAACAAACCGAACTTAGTATTATGTAAACCTCAATTGGCAAAGAATATAAATATATGGGAAAATAAATCTACATCAAGATGTTAAGGTGGCAGAGGTCTCTTTGATACATTCTGTTCTGTTCACAGGTCACACGATAGATCTTGGAAGATCCATTGTTATCAGATGTCATCTTCATTGATATGGCCAGCGTTCCAAAAATGGCACAATATGGCTTTTGTTCAGGTGCAAAATACTTCTCGTATGCTTTGCAGAGTTGGAAATATGAAGATTTCCTTGGTGCAGGATATAATGCATTTGAGGTATAGGATGGCTATTTTTTGTGGGCACTTTATTAATCTTCCTCAAGTACATCAGCCTAGAGAATGGTGCTGCAGTCTGCTTCCTTTTGAAAGAACAGTACCAAGGATTAAAGAACAGGATTGGTATTCCTGTCTCAGCAGATATCTTGGAAATTTTTCCTTGTTTTTGAAAATAAAATATCGCATCAGCTACTGATTAAGTAAGTGCAGCCTCAAAGGTATTTAACAATCAATTGTTACCAATTCTACAATTCTGGGTCTTGAATGAGGTTACAACTCCCTTCTGTTCCATAATTTCTATTCCATATCATGGATATACCTATGAGGAAAGAGAGAGACAAACAAACATTTCTTCCCTTTCTGTTCAGTCAACTATTCTTCACTGCATAGAGTCTGTTAATGGCCCCAAAGGGGCGAAAAAGCTTTCTTTCCTTTTAGCTGTTTTTTGTCTTAAAGCTTGCTATGTTGATTGCTAAAAGAATTGGAAACTTAAATGGATGATTCAACATAAAATTAGGGTATTTACAAATGATTTATAGTCAATGTTTTATTGATTTCATAGATAACAGGCTTTGAAAATTTGGGTCCAAGAAACCAAATTCTGGTCTTTCAAAAAAGATCATGCAGTTGTTTCAATATTTATCAAGACAGCAGACCAGATTCTTTGCCAAAGTTATGGGAACATCTGCAGTAGAGATAGAATCCAAAACTTTGATGAAAGAAATATCTTCTGTTTGATTTCCACAAAAGATATTCTCCCTGACCATTCTTTCACCCTGTTCAGCAATTATTTTAATCAGGCTTATTATAATTTTAAGTCTTTGATAACTTTAAAGTTGTAAGGATAATTTGTTGGATAAATTCTATTAAACGTCTGAGAACAAAGAAAGTATTGTCTTTCACTTTGCTGTGTTGTGCTTGGTTGAGTTTAAATTTTATTTGAAGACTTGAGTTAGTTTAATTACCCACTTAGTATTAAATAAATACTTGTAACGGACAACTATAATGAGTACAAATCCCTTTTAGGGGCAAATTAGTGTTTTTAATAATCTATTCTCTATTAAAACAATACTAAAATCCCTAGTTATTTTACTCCTATTTGTATTAGGGGATGAAGGAACATTCATTTACTCCTATTTGTATTAGGGGATGAAGGAACATCCACTTGTCTTTGGTTTATTAAGACAAAGTTTTGAAGATTTTTTTTAAAGCTGCTAGAGGAAATCAACAAACATAGAACAGTGTTGTCTCTGACAAAATTAATGTCATATTTTGATAATCTGGCTTCCTAGTAGAAAACTATATTTAAGGTCCATGTAAAATTTCATAGCAAATGGAAAATTAATAATAAGGATGTAGACATGTTCCTTTAACATAAATCATTATTAATTTTTCTTATTAACTATTGAAATCCACTTCTACTTTATAAGCATCTGTAAAAATGTTCCATATCTGTATCCTATTATGGCTACCTTGATTCCTGACATTCTGTTGATATAATATAGGAATGAGGCTGCAAGTATATAAATTGCAAAGTAATATCCAAAGTCAATATCTAATTCCAACTAATTTAGATGGATTGGAGTATCCAGGAAGAATGTAGTGGGCAAGCAGATGCACCTTCCAAACTTTGCCTTGCCCTGTCCTGTTTTGGAGTGGCCTGGCCTCCATGCTGTGACTGTATGAACCCCCCAACTTTGTTATCTCAACGTTTTTGTAACACACTATGTTTTACTTGCTTCAGATGCTATGTAAATAACAGACTGTGAAATATTAAAGTTCGTTTTAATCTCTGTAAGGTGATTCATTTGTTTTTTATTTTTTTCCAGCCAAATGGAAAATTAGACAGAACTTTTGTAAGGCAAGTTTGGATTCCCTTCAGGAAACAAACAAACAAACAAAAAAAAAAAACCAGGACCCAGTTGTCCAGGACAAGTTAGCAAGAAAAAGATCAAGTTAAAAAGTGGGTGCCATCAGGCAGGGGCTGAGAAGAAAAAAAACCTAGAAAATATCTCCCAACACATCCTTATGGGACAGATAGCCTAGTATTCAGTTTGGAGTATTCCATCTTCCCTATCATATCACCCAGGCAGAATATATGCAAACTTTCTCATGTTTCCCACTGCATACATACACATAGGACCTACAGAAACAACATGTAGATGCCTACCTAGACTATTTTCATCTGTTTTGCTGTGCCACAATAAAACAATGCATGCATTATCCTGATGAGACACAAACACACATACACAGGCCACACCGTCCTTATTAGACCTTTACAACCATGCACACAACCAAACAAAAGCACAATACTTGGTAACCAAACTTGGTTAGCTGATAAAGAGACTGTAAAGAATTCAAGGATTTATTTTCTATATGCTTTCCTACCTTGTTTTAATTATGAGAGTCCTTGGGCAAAGTGGGAGGAAAAGGTAAATTTTGAAGACATCTAGTGAAGTGAAAAAAGTGAACATTATGCACATAGAGATGAAAAAAAAGATGTTGATTAGCGTAGTAAAGTTGTTGCATTGGCATAGGAAAGACCCAGTTTGATAACTGTCCTTCAATCAGTGAAACGTAATAGCTGACATTGGGCCAGTCACTCTCAGTCCAAGTTACCACAACCACAGGGTGGAGAAAATGAGAGACCACCTTGAATCCGTGAACAAAAGATAGGTAGAAATCAAATGCATAAACAATAACATAACATTTCTACTAGTCTTGCTCTTTATACAACAGTATAATAGTATGTATAATTGTAAAAAACCTAAGGATTATAACCCATTTCCCTAGGTTTGAAGCTGTACTGATTGATTTATTTTGAATAACTGTAACCAAGTTATCTGCTACAAGACTCAATCCAATTGATTGTAAGGATAGTCCGCAAGCCTAGAAAGATTTTATATGGCACAATAGATCTTCTACCACCATGTGTTTATATATGTGTGCATCTATGCTTTTAAATTTAGTTTTATTGCTAATAAAGGAATAGAAACCAAATTATTAAAACTATGATAAAATGATAAAGGACAATTTTTTTATAGATGGCTAAGTGCATAAAAGTTCTTATACATTGAGAATTGGAAAATATACTATAGGCCTCTGTAAAACCTTAAAACAAAGATACTTAGTTTCAAATTATAACTTGTAATTCTATCCTTTTAGTTTTCCACAATGCAGATAGTCCTCAACATATGACCACAGTTGGAATCAGAATTTTCATTACTAAGCAATGCAGTCATGAAAACAATGTTACATGACTGCATCACCCTGGCAATCCAGGCCAGTCCTGGTTATCATAACTCCAGATAAATGGCTCATTAAGTAGAAAGTGGAGGGAGTCCCAGATAAAGAGTGCAGGGGTGCTGCAGGGGGGTGGGATGGAGGAGGTCCTAGGAGGCCTAGTACAGAACATGCAAGAGTTGGGGGAGGACATGCAGGGTGCAAAGAGGCCAAGTACAGGACATGCATGAGCTCAGGAAGGCTGGTGAAAGAATACACAATATGAAGCCCAGCCCCAGCATAGCCTAGCACCACAGTGCAAAAAGGCTTCTTGGTGTGTCACAACTCTGCAAGAAGCTCCTAAGGTGTAGTACAGCAATGCAGCGCAAATTAGCTACCCCAGGAAGCCCCAGCTGCATCAGGAAGCCCCATCAAAGAGGTACAAAGCTGCTATCCAGCTGCATGGCACAAAATAGACACACCAGGAAACCCCAGCCATTGCAGTCCAGCCACCCTCACTGCTCTGCACTCTGAGACTGCTGTTTCCCTGCACTCCACCACTCCAGGTGATCTTTGCTGTGTTCTTTTTCCCACTGCTGATAAGGCAGGCCCAACCTGGCCCTTTGTGAAACAGTTGCTGGCCACATAATTCTTCCATCTTCCCCAGATTTGAGGAGAAGGCAGATGCCCCATTTGGAGAATGGCATACACACCATTCTCACAATGCTTTGGAAAACCTCATAAGTTTTCAAGGGTATTCTAAATCCTGATGAGAACGATGCACACTGTTATTCTTTGGAGAATAGCACATATGATTTGGAGAATGGCTTGAGCAGCCTTGGGAAGAAGGCTTGGCATGGTGAGCAGCTGCCTTGCATAGAATCATATGAGATATGCCTCATCATCGGTGAGAGGAACAGGGCAAAGGTCAGCTGGACACAGCAGGGTCTGTGGAACATAGGGAGGCAAAGGCAACTAGGGCTTTGTCCTGGGGTGCTGAGATGCCTGGTGGCAAGGTAGACCTTGTGGCAGCATTTCTCAGTTGCAACAGCAGCATTGGGGCTAAAGTAAGAGCTGGGAGTGTTGCCAGCTGGCTGAGATGGCTGAAGGCCCTGGGCCTCTACAGTTGCACTCCCTCTGCTCTCTCCGAGAAGTGCCATTGTACATGACAGAGAAAATGGCAAAGATGGGTGGGAAGCGAGATAGGTGAGTGGGGGGAGTTGAAATGTCTCTGTAGTCATAAGTGTGAGCAAACTGCTAAGTGTCTATGTTTTGATCACATGAATGTGGGGGCTCTGCAACAGCTATAACTTTGGAGACCAGTCATAAGTCATTTTATCAATACTATTGTAACTTTGAACTGTCACAGAATGAATTATTATTATGTGGAAGACTACCTCCGTAGCAAAAAAACCCTTTTGACACTGATTTTTGTTGGTGAGATATAACCTGAGCCTGCAGTTAGAGAAAGCATTACAAACTCTCCCACTCCCAGTCTAATGCTTTAATACTTTTTTTGCATTTCTGATACAGGTATAGTGCTTTTTTTCCCCAGTGGATTGGATCTTGACCAAATTAGTCATCCTAGTATATAGCCTTACTGCTTCTATCTGAAATAAAGAGTGACTAAATATCTTCTCAAGGTATTTAAGTGTGTATAAATGCTTGGCCTGAGCAAAAATACCTTTCCATCCTATTTGTCAGTGGCAAAATATGAGAAGAAGTTTGGCTGAATTTTATGTTATGAAAGGCAAGTTCTCTCCAACAATTGGAGGAGATACCCTAAAAAGGATTTTTCTTTTACCATTAGAAGGGAATTATTTAGTACAGGGTGACGAAAGGGGTGGACAAAAAAAGGGACTAGAAAGCATAGTGAAGTAGGATTCAGCTTTGTCTGGAATTCTACATCCTGTTCTGGGGTAGAAAAATTAGGAAACAGCTTTGGTCATTGCTAGCCAAAATTCAGGGATGTCCAAAATTGAATATTCCTTGAGATTTTATCCAAATTCCCTTTTTGTAAAACCCCCAATACAGGTGGCTGCTACCCCATAAAATCTTGCTTGGTCCAAAATTACCAAGGGTTTCCTCAAAAGCTTAAGAAGATGTAAACACTGATTACATTTCTGACTTACAGCTGCAGTGAGGCCCATTAATTTAGCTCGTCACCCCTAGGTTCTTCTGGTTTCTAGATTTTAGCTTGTGCTCAATGTGTGGAAAATTGAGGCAATTTCCTTGTGCTGGGAATCCACCAACTCGCTGAAACACTTTAAAAAGATGATACTGCCACTGGGGAATTTGGCTAAGTATAAAAAGCTTCTGTTAATTTCATTACTCTTTAAGGTAGTGTTTAATGTAAATTAATGGAGCGGTGAACATTTGGGGCTGTGCAAAGCCCAAAGGTATGTGTGTATCCTTTTTTGCATAGCTTTACACTGAAAAGTGTTTTTAGTTTAAAATGTATAAAATTGTATGTTTTTATTAAGGCTGAAATATAGCTAGAGGAGATAAGTGTTTCAACTGGTAAGAACCTGCTTTTTATGCCTTCAACTGCATTTCCTCTTGTATAAGTAATCAATTACATTCTGGTGAAGGGCAGATATGTCACTGGTGGCCGAATAAATTGTTGCTGTGGGAATTCTGATTAATTGGTAGGGAATGCACTTAAGACCATCAGACAAAAGTATTGATGTAGGAACAAGAAAGAGAAGCAGCCTTCTGCCAAATTGCCAGTGGCCATGCTGACAGGGATGATGCAAATTCAGCTTCACTATATTGGGATGGCACAAGGTAGTGGGTGGCTGTGCTGAAAGTATTCATCGCATTGTGGCGGCTTCGAGCCCAACTGCAGAAACAAAGTCTAGTCTATTGCAGAACAGTTTAAAGTTTTCCAAGGTAAATTAGGTGAATAGATTGTTCCTGAAGCAAGGTGGTTGAAGGTTGGGGGTGGAGAAGAGATTTGGGGGGCAAAGACATTTTTGGATTAAAACTATGCATCACTTTAAATAGCTCATAAATTAGATGCGGCAGCAATGGATATCTGTAGCAGCTCTGTATTAAATCTTCATTTCTATCAAATTATTCTTATTTTTATTTGCTCTGCCCACAAGGCCAAAGGTAACAATAGCAATGAATGGTTTCTTATTTGTTGTCAACTGAGTTTATTGTGGGATTGCCATGTCTAGTAAATCAGCTGGCATATACACACAAAACCTAATTAAAGTAATGTTTGATTTCTGAATTTAAGTAATGTACGTTAGTATTGATCAATTTCATTTGAAAGTAATGTACAAAACAATTCAGACAATGAGAATGTGGAAAAATTCTGGCTGATATTGGATGAAGTAATTCTATACTATAATAAAAAACATTGGCTTGCAAGATGCATTTTGAAGAAAGACGAGAATGTGTTCACTTATACATGTAGCTTGCCAATTCCTATTGAAGCCAGTATTGAGTAAAATAGCTGTAGAATATAAACAAATCCATTTAAAAAGAGTTATAACACACTGATATGCACACACAATCCACATACATACCCAAAAGCTTACAAATAAACCATGCTGAACTGTCAGTGGA